ACAGAATTAACATTAAGTTTCCCTGAGAGTTAAAGTGGCTTCATTCAGAATTGTGCCAACCTTCTGGAGGTTGGGATAAATGTAAGAACAATATGCCATGTCATATTAAGAAAATGAACTCAAGAAAATGGTGTGAATGGTGCTACCTACAGATGTCACCAGCTATATATTCCCATGGATGTAGGTATTTGCACTGCAAGTGTGTTCTTGCTCTTCCTCTTTTCCAGGCAAGAGATGCCTAAATATTTCCACTCACTTATGAATGCTGAGTATTTACTCACGCTTTCAAATGCAGAGGGCTAACTGGTAAGAATTTTGTACTAGCTCTGCTCGGGTTCAGACAGTTATATAAATGAAAGTCAAGTGAAATACCAAACAATGATTTCCTATGAAACATTAATCTTTTGGCCTATTTTTGAAATGAAATACTAGATTTAGAGTTACTTACAATGCCTAATTATGAAGTGTCATATGCTTAACTGAATTTGTTCTCAGTTTCTGTCCATGCATTCTTCAATGAGTCTATGTGGCTCCCTAAGGCTATCATAATGCAGTGTTTCAAATGTACTCCCCAAGCCACACTGATCATAGGTGACCTTTACCTGTACTGTTAGAAGTGATAGGTCTCGTACTATAAAAAGCCAGTAATTTCCGCTATCCATAAATTTCAAAATCGATGGGTTTGTCACTTGAGAAAAATACATGCTTTGCCTTTAGCAAAAACCCCACAACCGGTAGGATTTCCAGTACTTCTGTGGTGCTATGAGCCACAGTTGCTAAGATCTTAATTCTTAATTTAAATCCTATTATAGCGAAAAAACACCATGCATAATGAAAATATTTTTTTACAATTCATTACTGCATGAATAGATTAAAGAAATGTAAATCTTTTGGTATTAAAAATCTAATAATAAGAAGATACAAATTATTACCATAATGTAAAAGAAGGAATTTATACTTTTTAAGGTAAACAACATGAGCATACTTACTTATCTTAATCATAGATGTGGATATTCAGATGAGAAAAATGTTACATATGTCATTAAAAGCTGTGAAATCAACAATATTTTAAATACAGTATTATAAGCATTTTATTTCTAAAAACAGTGCTGATATTAAAAGTATATAAAACCATGCATCACTTTATAACTACCCTGTACAATTACAGGCATCTGCTCTAACTAGACATCTCTGTTCCATTTTGCTTTCTGTATTGACATGTGTTTATGGTTGAAGAAGTATCTATCACAAATACTATGTTTGCTAAGAGGCTCTTAACTTAATGTATAAGTTACCTTCCCCAACACTAATACTATAGTATTATAGTATTAGTGCATGCAGGTTCCAACTACTAAATCTATTTCAGACTGGAATAGAAAAGTGAACTACTTGCTGCAACATAAGGTGTTTATTGACTAATTGAGCCTTTGCGTGATACAACTTAAGGTACACAGCTAGAGTTTTATTGCCATTAATAAATAATCTCTGTGAACAATGATTTCATTAGGTTAATACCAAACCTCATTTTGTCTCTTTGCGCTCAGTGGAATTGGTGTGGTAATGGTAACAGGGATGACACCAAAGAAAATCTGGACTTAAGATACAATGGAAAGCTTTTCTTTTTATACCTTCTCAGTGCCAGCAGCCTTTCTTCAGTGTTGTCCAGAGTACTTTAAGTGGTATTCTTATAAGAATAGGTTTCAAACCATTATGAATGTCACATTTCAGTCTTCTTCAGTTAAAATTATCAAGCAGTTCTAACAGCAGTACTAGGTAAACCAGGGCAGGAAAAGACAGCACTGTTAGTACAATCACTGCAGAGTAGCCAGGGCACTCAGCAACCTTTCACAGATGGCATTTAATGCAATAGAGATCACAATTTAGTTTTTTAGATTAGATTAACACTTGAATGCATCTTATCTGCCTGAAAAAAAGAGGCAGGCGAGACACCACAAAGCTGGCAAAGGAGGAAAAAGAGACACAGCTAGAAGAAAAAAATAGCAGTTTCAAATTACATCATTTTCTTTTGCCACAAGAACTTAAGTATCCCACAACCACAAGGTTATTTTCCTCCCACAGCTTCATGTCTGATTTTCTATCACAAACAATGACTTGGTCAATACTTTTGACTTGGGCCCTGATTTTGCACACTTGTGTATACATTTAAGTTTACTCACATAAGTAGCATCATTGGCTGCAAAAAGACAATTCATCAAACACATGTATCTCCTAGGGTTGCTGGCTTTGCTTTGTTAAGGTGAAACAGGATGTTAAAAGAACTTTGTTCCTGAAAGTTTAACAAGTAACTTTACAGTGGCAGGAAGAAGAAAAGAACCCAGGATTTCAGATTCCTTAAAAGAAGTTGAAACTAATTTTTAAAAGATTCACTGAAAATGCTAACAGAAATACAGAAATAGTCTTTGCTCTGCTCTATCTCTTCATAGTGCAAACATGAGTTGTCCACATTCTGAAATAGAGAATTTTAGAAAATTAAAAACTTCAAACTAAGACATTCTTCTCTGTCATACACTGTGCCAAACTGTGCATTATCAGACTTCTGATGTGCTGCTTTAAATGATTCATGGAATACTTAACATTGCAGTATCTCACTGATCTACATCCTGCTGGGATTGATTGACACCGTGACGTTTCTAAACCTACATAACCTAATGTTATGCGCATGTGATGCCCAGAATTCACAGACCTCAGTATCACAATACATTTTGAAAAACCCGGACTTGCATCATATCATTAGGTTATCATAGGGGATACATGATTCTAAAATGACATTATTTTCTGATTCTGTGTATACATAACCTCTTTTCATAAGGGAACATGTATATACTGAAAAATTAGTTAGGCACTAGAAAACCTACAGCCATTTCAGAGTACTACTTTATGGCTCTGGAGGATTTGTGCAGTTGCATTTCTATGGATTTGAGGTGTACCAATTCAGGACAAAAGTTTGATGCCACTAGCAATAATAGGTCCCTCCTAGCTGTAATAAGGTGGGTGGGTGTGTCGGGGGGTGTGTGTTTTTTTAAAACTGTATATATAATAAAGTTTTCGGTCTGGGTTTCTTAAATATATTAGCCTAATACCACTCTCTGAGAACTTTCTACAGATGGGAGCAGTAAGAAATAAAATCACTGGATGTCAGCAGTAGAAGCACTCTCCTATGATTCTCTCTCCTCTCAACCACCTCTGCTTTTCACAGTCTTTCAGGATCATCCTTCTCAATTAAAAGCCCAAGTGAGAATTCAGCTTACATTGTTTTAAACTATTTGACAGAAAGTCTCCCCTCAAAAGGCAGACAATTACATGCTCATAATTCATGAACAGAATTATCCACTAATCCTAAGTAACACTGTTCATCATTTTCACTTGAAAATTAAGTATATAAAGCACTGGAAAAGCAAATTCAAAAGGAAAAAAAAGGAACATTTCTTTTCCTAATTAGAACAACACAATGTATTACCAATGTATTACTTAGCTGTGACTAAATCACTTAAACTATTTAAAACTAAAGAGTTTTTGAACACTGCAATGTTTGGGTTGAGCTATTAGTTTATAAACACTAAAGCTATGTGTTGCATGCGATAGACTTGACTATAGAAGACACCATTATCTACTGGTTTTCCTCTTTTAAAACAGATGTGTGAGTTCAGTCCTAGTGACTATATAAAAGACGTCTTTGAGTTCAGTAGAAGGTTTGCTCTATGCAAAATAGGAAATAGGGTATTAGCAGGCTCCAGGACTCCAAGGAATGGAGCAGTTTCAACTTCCACTTCAGTCAATGGAAATTATGGATAGACAGGTGACAGTTAACAGCATGCAAAATCAGTTTTAAAGTTGTTGCAAACAACTGCCACTTACTTTCTTACCAGAGAAAATCAGTAGGATGCATCTCTTGAGCAACATACTTCAGCAGTAGCAAGTATTCACAAAAATGTTTCCAGTTAATTCAATTTAGGTTGTCACAAAATTGAGAAATAAAACACAGCAAAATTTGCATGAGAATAAATGAACATTTGAAGATGGTGTCAGCTTACACACATAACCTTACCGGTATTACAGCACTTAATAGTATAATGTACTTTGCAACTACTGAATTAAAATTTATATTGCACTGAAATAAATGTCTTGTAAAAAGCCAGTTGCAAATTGCTTTGTTCTATTTGTAGCTTGATTTATCACCAAAATACAGAAAAATTATCAGGAAACCTGATAGAAGTTTAAAATTGTCAAAAAGAACTTATAAATACATCTTCTTTGTGTATGGTATTATCACTTAAAAGAATACACTTAATAATAATAAATAAATGCTTTATTCAATTAATTCGGTGCAATCTTATCTTCACTCTGTTAAAATCACCTTTGAAAACAGTTTGATCCTGTCAGTCCTATTTCCTAGTGATAGCCTTCTTTTACATTTTATGACAATTTGAACATATTACAATGAAACCACTCAAAAACTAACAGAAATTAAGAAAACAACAGACAGACTGGCTAACCAATAAGACTCAAAATTTGACATGGTATATGAGCTCCATTGTCCAACTGAGAATATTACTTGAAAATTAAAAAAAAATCTTTCCTGAAAGCTGCAGAACAAAGAGGAAATGTTAGTAGAAATAACAAGAAAATAGAAAGAAAAACAACAGATTATTGTATTCAAAATGGTAGTCAGTCATTTTCAAAAGGTATTGCCTCTTCACTCTGTTATTGCTTTTTGTATTTCAGAATTTCTATCATTCTAAGTTTCTTAGAGAACTATGATTCTTCATCTTGATAAATCTCCAATAAAACAAAAATATTATCTCCTTTGTTAGAGCAAAGGAAAATAATATAGTCTATTCAGCTGGTGGGCCTACATAGCCTGTCAATGTCATATTACACTGATTGGGTCTTCCTAAACAGATACACTGAGTTTCTGAAACAGTGTCAGAATATGGAAAGTTCTGAGGTGGTTTCTACTTTTTTTGTTAATGATGTGATATTTACAACAACAAACAAACTCCTGACTTAGCTTCACCTCCATTTGTGTATCCCCCAGCATCTACTCTGTTAGGATCATTCAGTTCTTCAAACAGTCCCGTTTCAATAATTTCTTCCTGCCAGGCTATAGGGACAGCACCCGTCGCAAACTTTTTGAAGAACTTCTTATCTTTGTCATCAAACTCAATTCCTCGTATTTCAGAGAAGTCAGCAATGTCTGCAACATCTTTGGCATAGACAACTGATGGATCTGGCACAAACGGAGGGTCGATAAGGTTTGCCTCTAGCCTGTGGAAATTTATTGTTTTGAAGAAACTATGTTTTCTTGGGTCATCATTTTCATTTCTGCAATAAAGCAAAAGTTTGTTAATTAGTATGATGTTTTGCTCTCAGGTGTGTCTTTGTGTTGTACACATGAGAGTATTTTCAAGGGGAGGGGGGAGAGAGGGAGAGATCTACCTATAATGCAATGCAATTCCTTTTTTCATAACTGAAGAATGCTGCACTGCATAATATAAGCAAAGCTGAGAAGCAGAAAACATCCTGATCCCATTATTCATTACTCTACCTCTCAGGGTGAATCAGTCTGGGCAAGGTGCCATGCAAGAGTTGCAGTGCTGCTTCTGGCAGCGCAGAGATACTCATATCCAAAGATACACTTTAACCAGAACTGAAGATACAGCAGAATGGGGAGGAGGAGTATTGGATTTACTGTCCAACAATGAAAGTCAAATGGCTATCTCTAAATTAACTAGCCTAAGAATATCAGTTAAACTCTAGATGGGTACACTGTGTTAATACACCTAGGGACTGACTCTGAGGAACAACAGTCTGAATGGGAAACTGGTGAAAAATGACATTTCTGGTTTTACCTTGATTCAAAGCAGCTATGCATTTACATGATAAACTCAGTTATGTTGCTCTAATACACTCCCAGTTTCAGTGAGTCTGTTCATTCAAATGAACTACTCTTATAAATGAGCAGAGATTAAAGCAAGAGAGTCACAAATTATGGCATTAGCAAAAGTATGTGTGCCACTGTCACAAACACAATCCTTTATTGTTAAAACCCAAGAATAAAATCCAGAAAGGACTAAAATAATTGTAAATACACATTTTAAATACATCTTAAGAAAAACAACTGCAGACCTCAGGGAGAATTCTTGCTGTAAAAGAAACAGTGAATTGTTTCACTGTAAACCCACAGAGAGACTTGTAGTATATTCTGATTATAATAATTTGAGCCTCAAATGTGTGCTCATTAAAGCATGTCCAAGGATCACAGCTTTTGAACTGTGCCTCTAGCATCAAGGCTCACAAAGCTGGAGTTTTTAATTCTAGTGAAAGGAGGAGCAGATAGGACCACTGCATTTTCTACACCTACGCATTCGGGTTTTTTCTGTATTTATGGATGCACTGGTCTTGAAAACAGAAACAACAGGAACAAAATAGGAACAACAAATTTGTCTGGGTTTTGGCCTCAGAAAATGGTAGTTGCTAACATGTTGCTTTTTTCTTTTCCCACTTCCTTACAAAACCATGTACTTAGCAAAGTGTAAGCGCTCATGTATTTCTAGACAATGTTTCAAGAGCAAAATGCGAACCTTTGACAAATCTTTTTATCTTTGCAAATATGTAGAAGCACCATATAGAAGTAGTAGATTTGCGTGACAATCGAAAATCTTCCTTTTTTAACACCTTATACCATGTATGCAGAACAGCTCGTCCAGCTTGCCACTACTGCTGGCTCCTTGTATGCTGTCCTGCCACGCTTCTAGCCTGCCTCGGTGCTACCCAGGCACAGCTGAGATGAAACTACCAGCCACCCTTTTCAGCTCCCTTGTTAGAGTATTGTCATTTTGTGTCTCTGCTTGCCTGGTTCTTCTGAGCAGGTCACCACCAGCCACTACCACTGTACACGACCATGACCAGGATGCTAAATCACAGCCTGAAGAACAATAGATGCTGCCATCTGGGCACCCTGGGCAATGAAAAAATGATGTTTTCAACCCAAAAGAGCCATATGAACACAATTATGAATGTATAGATTAAACCAACAGTGATCATGGCTTCTGCATATACATAGTCTTGCAAAATCATCTCCTAACTTAACTGGCTAGTGACAGCCAAGATTTGAGCAGCCCTCGAGCCTGATGTGATTTATTTACAGTCGCTGTTAGCTTGAAATGCGTTAAGAGTTGTTGTTCAAATTAAGTAGTGTCCTGGGACACTAGTGGGCTAGTAGTGCTGACAGTCCTACTGGACAGGTGTGCTTACAAAAATTTCACTTTATTTTGCTTTTCCTTTCTGTAACATAAACCAAAAAGCACTAGAAGCTGGTGAAGGCTCCAGAATGGATTGCTGCAATATTTCTCCTCCTGATGTATTTTCTGACACCATCAAAACCATATAAAGTTTAAAAACATAAAGCTACAGGAACGCCATCTACTGGAACCAACTGAAGCATCTTCCAACCAGATGGAGATGAACTGGAGCTCTTCCTGCGTGAACTTCACATTTACGTAACTTAAATAGAAAGAGAACTCATCTAAACTATGTCAATTTTGTATTCCTCCACGAAAATAAAAGTTTTTTTAAAAAAAAATCATTTTACAGATTTGGGATTTGAGATGTCAATCCCAAAAAGCTTGAGTGGATGAAAAGGGTTACGTATTTCCTGAGTTAGCCAGTGACATTGAGTCTTCAGTAGTGTGGAGTATTTTAAAAAGTCAGGTGTACAAAGTAAAGCTATCCTTGAGCAGCTTTAACTTATGCAACAGGCACTTATGTAGATAACCCAAGGTCTTGTTGTCCTTAGTAGAATTACAGTGCTAATCTTTACGTAAGGATGAGCTGTCCTGAATAGCATCGCCCTGTTTAAAAGGTACATGCAGGCTTTTATTCTGTATCATGTCCAGGCATTGTATACATCCTATCGTTTTCCCTCTCTAAGTATGACACATAAGAGTAAGAATATCTTAAATAGCAGAAAATTAAATATAATCTGTGCAAATACCTTTCTATGTACATTTCTCCCATTGATGAGAAATAACATAATGGTAAGCAGACAGAATGATTGTAAACGATTCCCTTGGCAAAGGGAGTGTGGTTACAGTAAGTGAATATTCTGTTGGTGGTTTTGCTTCAGACTGGCTGAATGAAGTTGACTAAGTCGCTCAGAATCTCTAAATTTCATTTTCCCCTACTCTGAAATTTGTTTACTTCACAAAATGCTGTAAGACTAAATGTCTGCAAAGCATGCTGGCTTGTAAGGTAGAATGCTATAAATGTTTTTGTATTAAATTTATTTTTAAAATAGGCTTTTTAAACATATTAAAAATAATACAGACTTTGTATCAAACATACTCTATGTGTTGTTGAAAATACTTTTTTTTCCTGCAGCCTTGCAGAGTTGTTGGGAAAACTCATCAGGCACAAAGAGCAGTAGTCTTCAGTTAGCACTGGAATAATAAGGATTTGTATATTAATTATATAATTAACTTTATTGAAAGTTAATTCTTTCAGGCAAGTGTGATTAATATTTTGCAAAACTGTTCCATGTCGTTATGAAACATAAATCTAGAAGACTATCTGTGCATTTTCATTAAGTCTCTGAGTCTCTTCCACCTTTAGATTGGAAAAGCATCTGATACATATATTTGTATTCACAGGTGATTCAAAACATGGTGTACTCTAAAGACAGGTACTATCAGTCTCCTATTAGTTTTTTACATTTTTGGTATATTTCTTTAATTTTGTCTATATTGCAAATGTAGATCCCAAATCTGTCTCACTAGAAATGCACTGAATTTTTTTTTTTCTCTCTCTCTCCCCCCCCCTCCACACACATATATATCAGAGGGATCAGAGATATTACAAGTTAAATATTACAATGCTTAGCTTTCCAATTTTCTTCTTGTTGAACAGCTACTTTAAACTGTTAAGTCAGGAATACATTCATCAGTCTTCGTCAACCCAAAGCCACTTCTGAGGTCCCCAAAAATGTTTTGCTTTATAAGAATTTGTGCCCAGTATTCTTTTCCTCCCTTTTCTCCCTGGGATGAGTCAGGAAGACCAGAAACTCTACAAGATTTTTTTAAAGCACTTGAGTAAAGCAGAGGGATTAAGGTCTCTTCAGTAAGAAGCCAATGATGCAGCCTTGCAAGCTGGATATCTGCAGGGAAGAGAATCCACACTGCAGATTTGGATTTTTGCCCATGTCATTCCAGTAAGTGATACAGCCCAAGATTCTGCATTCAGTCTTCATTAGCATAGAAGCAGGTATCTACTTGAATATCCTTTACCTTTAGGAAAGAATATGCAAGAGAAATGGGCTGCTCCCTTCTCCCAAAACTATATAGACCCTATCCCCACAAAATACCAAGAAGAGAATTCCTATTAGTCTGGGGTGAAGACGGGCCATCACACTACTGCAAGAAAATTCCTTATTTTCATGTTATCTTAGAAACTTTCCACCCCTCTCTTCCTAGAAGCAAAAGGGAAAATTCACTACTCTGTAGAAAGTCAAAAGCTAACCTAATTTTGTATAATATGTAAAACAGTAATATTGTTTGCAGCTTTAATCTGGCTTTTACTGAGTTTGAGCAGTAAGGCATACCTGCTTCCTAAACGATTCTCTGTTTTCTTAGCCAAAAACAGTCGGCAAATATCTTTCGCTTCCTCTGTAAAGTTGTCATGTTCAAATTTCACCTCATCTTCCACAGTTCTTCTTTTAACCTCATCCTTACCGACCTTTTCTTTGAAATCCTTGAATGGTGTTCGGCCAGCAACCATTTCATAAATACTACACCCCATAGCAAACCAGTCCACAGGATAGCTGTAATCTTCTTCCTTCAGGATTTCCGGAGCCATATAACCATTTGTCCCAGCCTATTGCAAACATACAGACAGATTTACTATACAATGTCAGCAATGAGATGCACACAATTAAACAAACTAGTCTGTAATTCTTCCAAAATATTAGTAAAACAGTTGATATATTTTGTATCTAGAAACTATGTATAATTGATATATTTTTTTTATCTAGAAGTTCTGAGGTATAGCTCTGGTTTGGCACATGCACTATATCCGTCTATAAACATTTTAGCATACAGGAAAACTGTCTTAAATGATGATGCTCTTCTTAAAGACGAATCTTAAATGAGCATCTTAAATTATGCTCTTCAAAGATGAAATATCTGTGCAAGTCCTACCTAAAAGTGGTTTCTTTTTAAATTAATGTTTAGCTTGCTTTGTTCTTCCCTATTGCTTTTTTTTTCTCCTGTTGAAGATAGTGTTGTTAGCTTTGTCCTGTAAACACAACTAGCAATCAATTTGAAAAGATTGAAAAAAAAGACAAAACACAGACAAACAATCACCAATTCCCCCCCATTCAGTGATTATAACTGGTCCAATGAAGGGGTCTGCTGCCAATGAGAAAGTTCTCATCAAGCTGGTTAGCTGAGCTGCATGAGGAAGTTCTCACCCACACTCCCTGGTGGTTTCTAGAAAGAAGTACTAGCATCAAGGGCCAAGAAAAACTCTTAAAACCATTGTAAACCTATGAAAATTCTGATTAGTAAACTATACGCATTCAGATGAAGGAACGAGTTCTTATTTCCCAACTAAAAAAACCTTTCTGAATAAAGACTACTGCTCCATACAGTACTAATGGACCCTCCTCCAAGAGAAGTGACTGCTTTGAGAGGGGAACCTGCCCGCTTCCTTCCCAGACCAGGCCTGGCACACTTCCCTTGGGGGTCCGACTGCACAATGTCCAAAATAGCTCCCACTGCCTCCCTCTAGGGAGCTGATTCACCTGGGAGGGAAGAGAGAAGGTCAACCTCTCTATAAGCTTGCTGTTGTGCTGCTGCGTGACCGAGGATGTGAGATTTCAAGCGAAACAGCATTCCCTCAGCTGACCCAACATTTCCTGCTGCATCTGATGCTATACCTTATTTTATACATGTATCAGATTCAGCTAACAGTGATAACTATGTCAGAAGCCGCTTGAACCTCTTTTCTATCTTTCTGAAATACTGGGACTGATGTATTAGTAGTATTAATGAAAAATTATGTTTGTGCAAAATCCCAATAAAGGTTATTCAAGACGGTCAGCATTACTGCTATCAGAACACAAGTAGTGACAGAGGTTCACTCCAAAGCAAAACAGTTAGAAAAAAGTAACTAAAACTAGAGCTTGTTTGCACAAATTATATTTGTAAAAAGCACAGCTCAACAGATGAATTTTATTGTATGGGGTTTGGGTAATTTTTGCAACTTTAGGCACAGTATTTCTGAGTAAGGTAGGTCTTCCTGCAAACTTCAGCTCATGCCTCCACACATTATGGCATATACTCTACTGTAAACAATGTGTGCGAGAGGGAACATCTTAGCATCAATTACAACCTGAGCCTAATGGACAGAAAATTAAATCCACTTTGTTTCCTTCTTTGTATTTGCTTTATATCCCTAAAAGTAAAAGAAGTCCTCCATTTGGGTGAAAAACAGAAATGAGATGAGAAGACCAAAAATATCAGCCAGGTTGAAAACAAATGAAAAAGATTAAAATCGAACTGTTGCCTCCCTCACTAAAACCACAAAACTACAGAGAGGCCGTATGGGCATGGCAGCAGCTGACATCATTCCACATTAATTTGTACCGTTTGCATCGAATTTCTCTAAGTAAAAGTTAGTATCAAGAGACACCCTGACAGTATTACATTTTTATTTACAATTACTGCAAATATGGACACAGAACCCAGATCCTTCTGGCCTCAGAAGATGATGAAACCTGGAAGGGAGATGAGGGGTTGAAAGCAGCAGAGAAAGTTTGGTACAAAAGGATGCACACGCTCATCGCGGGTTAGTGAACACAGACACTAAGCAGGCTTCTGGAATATTTTTGGTCTTTTTTTTTTCTTCCCCCTTCTGGGAAGCAACAAACATTCTTATTTTTACTGAGATGAAGCTGGGGCACTAATGCCTTGAAGAACTGATGAGTCATATCATCATAAAAATGCACCCTGAGAGCACAGTACGGTCTTTCTGATAAGACATTACTTTGCTGCAACTTAGCATCATCATATGGGAACTGGATAAATTTGACATGGAAAAAGTCAGAATTCTGTGATCATAAATGTGTCTCCAGGCAGCTGCTTTGAGATTGCCTCTTTTTCCTTCCATAGTTGTTCCTTTCATAGTGTTCCTTCTTCCATAGTTTTTTCAAAAGAAATAGTTGCCACGTAACTTCAGTCTCTTCCATGTGCATTTTCCACATAACCTTCAGCAAGTCACACCATACAGGACACCATGCTTTGACATGGTACTCATGTTTCTCAAGAACAGAGAAAGCAAGACCATAATCGCCAACCAAAGAGACTGCATGAGCACAATTTAATAGAAAACAGAGAGGGACCAACAACAGCTTCCCTTCAGACTGAAGTGAAAGACTGTGGACATAGTTACTGTGAACAAGAATTAAATTTCAAAATTCTAAATTAGTAGCACTGAAATCTTTTGAGCTGTTATTGAGCTGATCCAGCTCCATCTCAGAGAAGTCTAGAAACATATATTGTTCCTCTGATAATGTCAACCCATTACAACTCAGAATTTTGTGAGCTGTTTTTCTCATGGAATTTCATCAAAACTTGAACCTAATTTTAAAACAAATTTCTCCCAATTCTGAAACTTTCCTGCAATTCATAATGAAGGAACAGACTGAGAAACAGGAATCTAAACCTAATTTCATAAACCCTGAGAATCAAAGCCCACTTAAACATTACCATATTATAGCAGAAACAAACACATTTTACAAGTAGTCAGCAGTGATGTTTAAGGGGAAGAAACACATAAACAAGTAGGGGGAAGAAATACTCAAATCTCTGCAATCTTTATCAAAACAGGAATTTGAAGAAAGGAAGAAAATAGCTTAAATTGTAGTCTTTTCCACCTATTTCTACATATGTGGAGCTTTGGCAAAATCATTTGGGAAGAAAGATGATCATGTGGGAAGATGATAAAGCCATAAGCATTTGCTGTATTAAGGAACACAAATATACCAAGAATTATTCAGTCCCCAGATCTGGAATAACGTACATTTTTCAAATGAGGATTTAATTCTATCTTTGGGGAGTAGATAGCATTAGAAGGAAGCTAAAACCTAGCATCCTTGCACTAATCATTATGGAGAACAAGATGTCAAAAATCAGATCATCTTTCAAAGAAAAGAGATCCTGTGGTAACATGAAAGGCAGCCTCAATGACTCAGGAGAGGTTTATTTAAGCAGGTAAAACAGAAGCTTAGTGAAGGGAGTTTTTAAACTGTACAACTAGCAGTAGTGAGATTTGAGCAGCAAAAAAACAGTGTATTAGGTGGAAAACGTATCCACTGATTCCCAAAGCAAAAGTGAAGTAATGAGTTAAGTTACTCTCAGTAGGCCAAGAAGTAAATAAATACACTATAGATTATACTCAAATGTAAAAAGAAAAAAAAGGACAGAAAGCAAAGGAATTAAAAGATACCACAAAAAAGATAAATGCACTATTTTTGAGAAGGGCTCTATTTTCCATGGGTTGTAGTGAACTTTTAATTAAGTCAGAATTATCTGACCATGCCTCAGAATGCATATCTCTAACTATGGGCTATTGGTATGTCTATCACACAAAAAATCATTAGGTTTGTATGGTTTTGTAGTTGTCTTCATTCAATACAATTTGTAAGTAAATTCAGAAGTTCTGTATTAACTAAAAAACACTTTTTCTTACTAGATCTTATTTGACATGGACAAATTTCACTCTTTTAATGGAAACAGGGAAAATATAAAAATCTTACTCAGAAAGTCAAATTCCTTTGTTGTCAACTCTACACTAACAGGACATGCACTGGGTTTTGCCTGAGACTAAGACCAAGCACATTATTTTCTTCTTTCTTGTAGGATTCCTGATAAGGCCAGGAACCATTTGAACACGTCTTGACTGCTCAAGTGATCTTACAGATACACACAAACACATAGAATTACCCCTTCACTGACCTGGAAGCGTCTAATGGAACGCAATTAAAAATAAAAAAAAAAAATCACAAAGGAGCCAAAGAATGTTATATTACCCCAACTTTTATACAGAAGGCAGAAACCATAGGCCATTGCAGAGGCACACAACTTTTTGAAGTGCCCCAACTTTTATACAGAAGGCAGAAACCATATGCCATTGCAGAGGCACACAACTTTTTGAAGCATAGTCAGTGCAACACTAGCTATTTTTTGCTTGCTCTCGATCTAATACTGTCTTTTGTGATGATGAGCAAGATGCCTTACTTGCATATGCTGATTGAAATATAAAGAGTCATTAAACTTCAGTAAATTAAATTTTAATTGACTTGCTTTTGAAAAGCGTTAACAGATCTACTTCTCCTTTTATTTCTCTATCTTGAGAACAACCCAAAATACAATTTTTCAATAATCCTCTAAAATGTCATGACCAAATGTTGACCTTGGATACATTAGTGAAGAAGTTCTGTTAAGTGGAATTGTTGCTTTGAGTGTGGTTTGACAGGGCATAGTAGAAATGACTCATCTGAAAGTATACAAAAGTTTCTTTTGTGAAATGTGATCCTGCATAAATTTTTAAAAGGTCGCATAATTATAATCTTTTAATAATACAAGATGTGATCCTGAGAAGCACTAAGTGCACCCAGTTCCCAGTACGGTCAACGGGTACTTGGCACACCACAAGTCCAAGCAGAACGAGGCCCGCAGTGTAAGTACGCTCATACATCCTGTTCAGATTGCTGTCCCGAGAAGGGAACCTCCCTTGAACACCACCGTTATCCCAGCTTCTAGCAGATGCAGGGGAGAAAGAAATAGAACTCTCTGGAGCTTTCATCAGCACAG